GGACGGACTGACCCCGCGCCGGGGGAGGAGCAGCCGCCGCTGCCTGTAGCCCGTCACCATGGTAACGCCTGCCGAAACCTGGACCACCTCCCTCTGTCTTCTTTGGGCGGGGTCCCCAACCTTTTGCTCCGAGACGACCCTCAGCACCTCGCGGGGCTCTGGGCTTAATTGCCCCGCGCCCGCGGGGTGGGCTGGGGCCCGGGGCGGAGCCCGTCCCTGGGCGTCCCGCGCCCCGGTCCGCCGAGTGTAAGGTGGCTGAGCAAGACGGGGCGCCTCGTAGACTTGGGCATTGCCCCGTCCCACGGCGCAGCTCAGAGCTGGAGACCTGGCTCTTGGGCCTTGGACCAAACTTGGGGTGGTGCTGCCTTTTAGACGTGGGGCCGCGCGTCTGATATGCCCGCTGTCCCCACGCAGGGTTTCGATGGGGTGGGGGGTAAAGGCCCCTCTGGCACAGTGAGGCGGTGCAGGGCCAGGAGGGCTCAGGGTGAGGAGCGACAGGAGGAAGTTGCTCCCCAAAATGTGGGGTGGCTTTGCTGTTTTAGACTCAGGGCAGGAGAGTCAGATACCACATCATCCTGAAGGAGGTGCGCCCATGGGCACTGGGGAGGAGAGAGAGGGAGGGCAATACCCAGGCACTGTGACTTCCTGCGCTGGCACCTCAAGGTTGGGACAGGCGCGTGTGAGTGTGTGCCTGTGTGTGTGAACAGAGAATGAAAGAACAGTCTGTTTTCAGAGAATCCCAGCCCAGCTCCAGACAGGCCCGGAGCCCCAGGCAGATTCACAGATTCACAGGAGTGGTGGGGATTTGGAAAAGGGCTGTGAGGCCAGGCCAGGGCTTTAACCCCTTGACTGGGAACTACCATGCTGACTGTGTGTAGGTTTGCACTATGTGCACGTCCACACACACAAGAATTCTATGTAGAGATGAATTCACGCNTGCACTATGTGCACGTCCACACACAGAAGAATTCTATGTAGAGATGAATTCACGCTGCCCCCCCCCCCCAAAGCAAGCTCCTGCTGACTCACACGGCTGAACACATGCCCTCTCACACATGCAAACCTTGTCCACCTGCTCTCCCACACTGCTAAAATATGGGCACACACCTGTGTACCCACCACAGACATATTGCAAAACCAGGCTCCTAAATTCATGCGCCAGCAGGGCAGGTGTAGGCACACACTGCTGCTGGAGCTGTTTGACAATAACCCTCACAAGCTAATGTTCTTCACCTCTCACCATGGGCAAGGCCCTGCATGGGGCAATTTACATGCGGAGCTCCTGTAACTCATACCAACTCTAACAGGAAACCTGCTGGTATTTTCACTCCACAGACAACAGATTTCCATCTCAATGTTGTCTTTAAGTATTAAAGGTTGTCACCTGCTCATCTCTCTGGCATCACCTCTATACTCCACCCTGACCTTGGTTCAGAGCCTCTTACGTTTCATGTTCCCTCCAGCCACAGGGCCTTGGTACATGCTGATCTGCTGGGTGGAACCCCTACCCCTAGTGAATTCCATTCATCCTGCACAATTCCATCCAAATGTCACCTCCTCAGGAAAGCCTTTCCTGATTTTCCTGACTCTCACTCTAACGTGCGGTATATCTCTCCTTCAGGATACCAATCACAGTTGTAATTTTTGTGGGATGATTTGATTGATGACTATCTAGTGTTCTGAGGCAGCTCGGTGTCAGAGCATCTTATGACAAAGGGGCTTAGGGTTTATCCAGTCCCACATTTCTGTAATTTCATTATCATTAGAACAATTTTTGCATATCCACTGATTGGCTATAGCAAATAATAAAATCTACAACTTATCAATTGTTCAATATTTTTATTTATATAAACATACTTTATAAACTTAAAAATATACATAAACAGGAAATTTTATATCATGACCGTGAGAAATCAGAATCCCTTATCAGAAACAGAAAGTAACTGTAAGAATATATATAACGAAGGGAAATTCATGTTAGAAAATTCTGGCTGGGTGTGGTTGGCTGCGGATGACTCCAAGCCTGAGGACTGCTTTCTTTTTGTTAAAAGGAGTAATGATGAAGTGTTGAGCGGTGTTAAGATATCCTGGCTGAGACTTTCTCTTTGGTGTCATCAAGAGGACCAGAGAGAACTGGAGAAACTTCTTTACTGTGGTTTCATGTTGCACCCATGTCCTCCCCAGATTGTGTTGTGGGCCACCTGTGATCCTGTCTCACACTTTGAGGAAAACTGCTAGAGCCCAGTTCAATTCATTCAACATTGCCAAGGTACCTGTTTCATGGCAGTCCCCCAGAGCACCTACTGTGTGCCAGGCCCTGTGTAAGGACCTGCGGGAGAGATGTGTAAGCCCTGGGCAGGCCCACTCACTGAGAATGCTGGGCTGTGTGATGGGCAGTGGGAGTCCATCCCTTTGCCTGGAAGTGCATGTGTCACAAGAAGAGGAGAGGAGCAGGTGGAACGGGGCTCTGAAGCGTGGGAGGGAGCTCGCCCTGCCCAGGGAGGGACGCAGTTCTTCTGAAAGTCAGGCACTTCGGAGGGGAGACTTCATTTTAGTATTTCTTTTTTTCATGCTCTTTATTTTAATTTTATTTTTCAATTACAGTTTCTATTCAATATTTTCCTGTATTAGTTTCAGGTGTACAGCATAGTGGTTGGACAATCACATACTTTACAGAGTGTTCCCCTGATATTTCCAGTACCCACCTGGCATCATACGTAGTTATGACAATGTTAGTGACTGTGTTCCCTACGTTGTCCTTTACAGCCCGATGGCTGTTCTGTGACTGCCAATTTGTACTTTTCAATCCTTTCACCTTTTCCACCCCGCCTCCCAGCCTCCTTCCCATCTGGCAACCATCAGTCTGTTCTCTGTATCTATGAGTCTGTTCCTATTTTGCTCGTTCATTTATTTTGTTCTTTAGCAAAGAGCTATTTTGTTTGTTCTTAAGTGAAGTCATATGGTGTTTGTCTTTTTGTGTCTGACTTATTTCACTTAGCATACTACCTTTGATGAGAGACTTTAGACGCCACTTAAATGAACATTTTTTATTTTACAGCTTTTCATCTTCATGAGTATTAGGAAATAATCTAAATTAGCACACACATGTGATAAAAGGTACAAATAAATTTAAGTTGAAAATGAATTGACCAAAAGATGAATGTGAAGTAAATAATAAACAATATTAAGTAAACAATAAATGAGGATGTGTGGGTAGCGAGGAAAGCTCATGGTTGCAGCAGGTGGTGGTTGGGAAGCCCTGGCTAGAGTGCAAAGTGTGTTAGAAGAACTAAGAAAGGTATGGTCTGTGTAGACTGATGGGCCACCAATGCCAGGATGAGTTGCTTAGGCGATGGGGAGCCACTCAAGACTGTTGAGCAGTGAGGGTTACGAAGGCCACTGTGGTGGCCAGTGGGAGCCTGGCTTGGTGGCAAGGAGCCTGGGAAAAAGGCAGAAGAGCTGGTAGTTATCTACACAGGTTCATACCCCAGCTCTGCCATTAACTGACAGTAGAGCCTTGGGCTCAGTTTCTTAGCCTGTAAAATGGTAATAAAAATACCCATTCAATAGGCTTGTTTGGAAGATGAAATAAAATAATACCTGGAAAGTGCTTAGCATAAGCTTGACATAGAAGGCTTACTCAGTAAGAGGAAACTTCAGTTATAGCCGTTTTCTCATGGGTTTTGGATGAGAGATGGTGAACCGTAGGGCAGGGGCAAAGGAGACAGGAGAGAAAGGAACAAACACAAAACGAAGGCTCAGAGAGGTGAAGTGACCTGCTCAGGGGCACACCGATGATACGTGACAGAGCTGGACTCAAACATGGGTCTTCTGACACCCACTTGCTCCCCAGTTTGCTGCAACTGAAATGTCTTTTCCAGTTTCTGAAAGTTTTTTTTTGTGTGTGTGTGTGTTTTTTAATGAGGAGCCAATTCTCACTCATACCTCCACCCACACAAGAATAAGGATTTCAAGCTGAAGTTTTAGTTGGCTGTGAGCTAGAACTTTCTGGCAGCCAGAGCAACAGAATGCTGGCTTTAGAATCTCCAGCCTGGAGAAGTTCAAGAGGAGTGTCCCAGGTACTTGAGGCTGGTGGTCACAGCCTGACACCTACTGGGCTGTATCTGGCTCACAGATAGGTTTGTTTTGGCCAACCTTTAAAAAATTGGAGGTTTTACTAAAATATCAATAGAGCATAGGCTAAGGCAACACTCTGCTAAAGCTGATGAGATGAGGCATTTGCTTTAGGCTCCACTTCTCCCTGTTGCTTCCCAGACACTGAGGATGACTGCCAGGGGCCATTCACCAAGGTCTAGAGGGGTTGTTTTCTCACACCTGGCTCACTCTGGCTTCCATGTCACCTGTCAGGCTCCTGTAGGCATTTGCATCTGTGGCTGCGGGTTTAGACTCTCCCTGGGCCTAATTATACCTGCACTCTAGAATGGCCCTGCTGTAAGGGCCCTTGGGGATAGATTAAACACAATGCCCCCATTAAAAATTTTTTTTCAACAGTTTTTTATTGCTTTTTAGAGAGAGAGGAAGGGAGGGGGAGAGAGAAACATTGATGTGAGAGAGAAACATCAATCCTCTGCCTCCTGCACACCCCCTACTGGGGATCGAGCCCATAACCCAGGCATGTGCCCTGACCGGGAATTGAACCGGCAACATTTGGGGCCCGAGACAATGCCTAACCAACTGAGTCACACCATCCAGGCCACCAATGTCCCATTTTACACGTGGGGAAACTGATACCCAGGTCACCCATGAGTCAAGGATGTAATCCCACCTCCCCTAGGCATTTAGGCCATTGTGGACAGCAGGAGTTAAGGGCAGCCCTAAGACACGGCCCACCTCGGCTTTTCTCAGTCCTCTCCCTTCCCAAGCTAGGAGGTGCCGATGCTAAGTGATCCTAAAATTTTGCCCGTTGGAGCAAACAATAAACCTGGACCTTTAAGAAAAGCTCAGCCACATCTCAGAAGGCCCAACTAACNCGGCAACATTTGGGGCCCGGGACAATGCCTAACCAACTGAGTCACACCATCCAGGCCACCAATGTCCCAT